GTGATGAAGAGATTGATTTAAATGCTTGGGAAAAAGGAGTGGAGTTCATTTTTTTAAAAACAACCCTTTGGAAAATGGAACTTGATATATAGACCAGACACGTTAATAAAAGAGTCATTTAAAGCAGCAATAGTTTGGTTTTAAAATGTAGCTTTAGTACAGCTTTGTTTAGGAGAAAATACATGTCAGAGTGGTGGTAAGTCCTCACATTGTGCCATAATCCTTCATTTTTAATATCTGAATGTTGAAAATTAGCTTTAAGGAACTATTACACATTTTGGAAAATACACTTATTTGTTTCATTTCTTGACAGTTCCATGAGAAGATCAATACTCTCTTATCTGGACAGTAAAAAAGTAGCTGGAGCCAGCAGCCGGTTAGTTAAGCTTAGCGTTTAAGGCTGAAAACGGAGAAACAGCTAGCCTGCTTTTACACCAAAAAATTTGTTAAAAAAAAAACGTCAATAAGTTGTTTTGAGTGGGCTTATGTGCCAGACCATTTCTTGGATGGCACATAAGCCAGTCTCCTCTGGTTGCCTGGCAACTGGCCCCAGCCAAGAAATAGTACAGAACATAACCCTGCATAAAACGCCAAATTGTGATTCTCTCTCTTCGGTTTTTGGATCGATTTCACAATCAACACATAACGTCTTTATGAGTGATCTTTAGAGGTGCTGGTGTGCAGACTTTGTTACCTGTGGACAGAGCCAGGCTAGCTGTTCCCAGTCTTTGTGCTAAGCTAAGCTAACACAGACGTGTGGTATCAATCTTGCATCTAACTATCTGCAAAAAAGTGTCAAATGTCAAACTCTTCCTGGAACGTAAAGCGGTACGTAACACTTGAACCAGGCTCCCTCAGCTTTCAGTGAGGGAATGAGGGACCACTGTAGCTGAAGATGCCTCCTTTAATCAATCTAAAACTTAATTCCTTACAAGCACCCCTGCACCACCCTGTCATAAAACACAGCGCCATAAATGATCTCTGGTGTCAGGCTCAATACGTTGACATCTGTGTTTCTATATGCGTCCCTGCTAATCCTCCATTGTCTTTGTGTCTCCGGGCTCTTTGACATGCAAATGACCGGCAACTTGTCTTCATCAGAATCCCTTCTGCTCAGACTGAAGACAATAGCGAGGCCTCATCATCCACTCTCACCGTGAAATCCTCATTAAATGTAGTGGGGCATATGCCACACTGTTGTCTACTTGAGTTGAAGTCTGATCCCACAGGCTGGTTAATATCATCCATCACTGCCACTTAGTTCGCCTCTATAAAGATTTCACTGCTTTGTAGCAATCTATTTAAAGATCAGATAGTATGAGTTAAAGGAACGTTTGAATCATTTAATATAGAAGATCTAATTTCATAACGTATTTTTGTCATTGCCTTCATTTTTCAGCCCATACAGAACAAGAACAAGTGTGCATAGTGCTTAAAATCATTTTTTTCCTGTCTATTATGCACATTTAGTGGTGGAAGATCAACCCCCAAGTATTGGGATCATTCGATACCTAAGCAGTAAATGTCCTCATCTAGCTAACCAGTGCAGCTGACCTGTATCTGCTCATCAGTGAGTCGTTGACCACATCGTCTACCGTGGATAACCAGCAGCCAAGGTGGAGAGTGTTTCTGACAGCAAACATGATATTGCTCACAGACCAACAGTAAACAGAGAGAAATACACAGGAGTTTAGGCTCACTAGATGCTACAATGCTGCCATTACTGTTTATTAATGTTCCTTTTGATAGTTACTTATGTTTACAATACTGTACAGATATTCCACCACTTTCTTGAACTGATGGAATTTTTAAAGTTATTCTCTTCTTGAACTCAATAATTGTACTGTGATGTGTAATTGCATTTTCTTTTTATTGGTATTGGTATGGTATTGAAACATTTTGGTGGTCTTGCTTTTATTTTAAAGGTTTCTGATACCTTTAAATACCTTTTGATGCCTTGAGAAATGGTGGTATATCTGCTGCAGCATCACTGTAGAGCAGCAAAGTTATGAATTAAATGATTGTGTTTTCTGTGAATGTATTCTAATTATGTTTATTTATAATATAAACCCTTCGGTTGAAGCTGAGGTCACTGCGTTCAGAACTTTTTTCTCTGTTACTCCATATTCTCTGAACAAGAGTGCTGGCACGTTAAAGCTGTCAGTGGTGGCCATCATAGGTGACAACTCGACAGACACAGAGGAAGATGCCAGATGGACTCTGGGCCCTCGGGCCCCGATGGGCACAGATGGGTGGGTGGGTGGCACCCACACAGGCAGCACAGGCGGCTGCGCCAGCACCAAGACAAGGAAAGGGAGAAAGATCACACCACCGCCATTGATACTACACTTCACACTACTTCTCTGTGTGTTTGTGTGTGTGTGTCCGTGCATCTGACCCTTTGAATAAAGACATGAGGTCATTTGTATTCATGACTTTGCACAAGTGAATGCTTCTGAATGTGTGCACGTATATGCATCCGTGTGTATGTGTGCATATTGTAGTTCTGGATGTTTCTGCGTATCGTCTCACACACATCTCCCACATAAATACGCTGAAGGTAACAAATATATCCTGTGATTCATCGTGATTCATTCTTTCTGACAAACTGCAGATTTGTTTGAGTCTGCGCCTACAGCGTACAGACAGACATGGCAAATAAAATCAGAACATCAAAGCTTTGACATGGACTCACCTGGTCAGTCTACTGGGCCGTAAGTTACAATCAGACAACTGTACAGGTTGTAAACTAATCCCAAGTGAAGGCAAACATACAGTATTGGGAAGAGTAAAGGAAGCTGAACATTGAAATTTTACCCAAAGTGTCTGTTGTAAACATCCATCATATTATACATTTACATTTTAGGTTACATTTACATTTACATACATTTTAGGTACGCTCATAGATGAAATAACTATTAGTGAGAAAAGAGAAAACCTATACTTACTCAGTAATAGTTCAACTGCTCAGATCAGCTACTCAGTTTTAAACCATGGCCTCTTCACTTTCATGGCACCCTGCATGTGCATGTGTGTCAAGTGAAATAATAAAGGCCTACTCTCAATCAGTCAGCTGTTTTTTGTGAAAGGAGGATGTTAGTGAAGCTGACATCCATCATGGACAACACCTCTCACCCCCTACATGACACTGCCCTGAGTAGCTCCTTCAGCAGCAGACTGTTACACCCACGGTGTAAGAAGGAGAGGTTCCGAAGGTCTTTCATCCCTGCCGCTGTCAGACCCTACAACACCTGATCAATGTTGTAGTTTCTGTTTTTTCAAATTACCACCATACCATAGTTTAGTTTTTATCCCACCTTGGTGTGGGACATCTAGCTTCCCCTAACCTCAAAAAGTCACGAGCCAATTAACTTTTACCGTATAGTCCGATTTTTTTTCTTTTGTCTGATTCAGGTTCAGTCCTGTCAGTCTGTGTTTAGGGTTGACATAGCATTTGTTTGAGCTGATTTACAGTGATAAATCTTTACATCTCTTGCTTTGGCAGTCACTATTTCTGACCGTCGGTCCTGGCTTTTGTGTAACTGCTTTATTCAGTGTTTTTACCGGTTTTAAATTAAGTTTGTTTGTTCTGAAAAGGCAGAGACCTCTGCAGATAATTTGGCTCCTGGTAAAAACCTCCTAAACTATGAACAATGAAGGAATCCTAACCGGGAGAAGCTAACTGTAATGACGCAATGCTTGTGAAGACAACAACTCCCATGATCCCAATTTACTTCACAACATCACCAAACTTAATCTTTTATTATTGTTTTGATGTGAGAGGCAGAAATGATAAATTGTACATTTGATATGGAGATTTTTAAGTTTATGACTTATTGTTTAATTTTGATAAGTGTGAAAACATAATGTAAGTGTCGCATTAAAAACAGTTGTAAAATTAGAACTAAATCTTGCCTGTCCTTAAGGCATAATTTTATACTGTATGTGTCCTTTGCCATGAACCATGTTTATGTACTTGTGTTGTGTATATGCCTTTATTGTTAGCCCGCAGGGTTACAAGATGCCTGACTGCCTACTCTGGAGGCCTCCTGCTCTCTGTTACCCAGAACAGAGCCTCCACAGGGACTTTCCACTGGTCTGGCTCAGCGTTCATTAAAAGCTGCGCCACTGCCAGAGAGGAGTACCTGGCTGCCCGGCTGGTGGGAACCGGCTGCCGTCACCAAGCACCGTGAAGGAACTCATTGTTCTGGGTCGACAGGACATGCTGTAAACATAAGGATAGAGTGTGTTTTCAGGAGACGCAGAAAGACATCAGACAGGCAGAAACACACACAGTTATAAGGACGTGAGACATACACAAGCACACAGACTGATCCCTGAGATTAAATAGAAGTCTCAGTCTGTCCTGCGCAGTGTGCTGCTGTTGCCAAGCTCCCCAAACAACAACATCAACAACTGCAGATCTCAGCAGGTGAGCCTAGGTGACTGCAACAGCTTAATATTTCCAGGGCAGGACAATTTGTCCATCACATCTAATTGAGAGTGTGTGCGTGTGACAGACAGAAACGTGGCGAGAGGGGGAGATCGGAAAAAAGAAAATGCGAGGGAAAAGAAAAAGAGAGAAAAGAGGAGGGATTAAAGGGGATGAAAGAGATGTGAAGAGAGGGAGAGAAAGAGATCTTAATCGGTACAGTCTTTTTTTACAAGCTTGTAATGTGATCAAAGGAATCATTGACCCTGGTGCTCATTTTGCCCTGTGGCTGTTATCTGCTTTTCCAGTATGATGAGAAGAGTCCTTTCTGCTGATGAAATGGGACACTATTTCTGAAAATATTAGTCCAAAAACAACATTTCTTGTTGCAGCGTGTTGCTGCACTGACAGAGAACAACAAATTCTTAGTTTCTCAGTGATACCACCTGTTACTGTAACAAG